TTGAGGATTCCAAATCGAGGGCCTATGGCCACCCGTTCCAACATCTCCCACTTGGCCAGTTAGGCCCGAGATGTTTGGTTGCTTCTCAATCCCATTGACACCACGTGTCTTTTAAAATCACTAACCCCAATGGGCTTTGTCAATGGATCAGCAACCATCTCATTTGTCGGCGCGTGCTCTACCAGGATCTCATTCCGTTGGTAGATATCATGAAGATATCGGTATTGCAAGTCAATGTGTTTTCCTTTTGGACCAATTTCTCCATTCTTTATCGTCTCGATGGCCGCTTCATTATCATTGAACGTTTTGATAGCTCCTTCAGGTGCACCTGGTATTTTTAATTCTTCCAATAACCTTTTTATCCAAATTCATTTTGATGTTGCTATGTTGCAAGCTATGAACTCAGCTTCCATAGTATATTTGGCTATACAGCCTTGCTTTTTGCTTGCCCAAGAAATGGTTCCTCCTCCCAGAAGGAAGATGAACCCAATAGTAGATTTTCTATCATCTGGGTCTCCTGCAAAATCAGCATCACAGTAACCTGTCAATTCTAATTGATCACAAGAGTATGTTAGTCTATAATCCTTGGTTTGTTGTAAATATCTTAAAATTCTTTTAATTGTTGACTAATGTGCAGTTCCTGGATTACTTTGGTATCTACTAACAAGACTAACAACATAAGACAAATCAGGTCTTGTACATAACATTGCATACATTAAACTACCAACTGTTTGTGCATAGGGAACATTCTTCATATAACTTACTTCTCTTTCATTTCTAGGTGACATGCCCTTAAATATTTTAGTTCCTTTGCAAATGGGAGTATCGATTCCATTACAATTTGTCATGTTAAACCCTTTAAATATCGTCTATAAATAATTTTCTTGTGAAAGAGATAATGTTTTATATTTTATATCTCTTTCTATTTTTATTCCAAGTACATAGCTAGCATCTCTCATGTCTTTCATTTCAAAATTAGTACTCAACCAATGTTTTGTTTCATTTATCATAGATATATTATTACTAGCTATTAGAATATCATCAACATATAAGGAGAGTATAATAAATGAACTCCCACTATTCATTGAGTAAACACATTGATTGAATGGATTTGGGATAAACCCAAGTTTTGTGATGGAATTATGAAATGTGTAATACCACATCCTAGAGGATTGCTTTAGTCCATATAGAGATTTGTTCAATTTATATACTTTGTTTTCTTGCCCTTCTCTTATGTATCCTTCTGGTTGTGTCACATAAATTTCTTCATTTAGCTTTCCATTTAAAACAGCGATTTTTACATCCATCTGACATAACTCTAAATCAAAATGTGCAATTAAGGACATTAAAATTTTAATAGAAGTAAATCTTACTACCGGTGAGTAAGTTTCATCATAATCTATACCTTCAACTTGTGTATATCCCTTTGCTACAAGCCTAGCCTTGTATTTTTCTATAGAACCATATACTTTTAATTTCTTTTTGAATATCCATTTGCTTCCAATTGGTCTTATATTACTAGGCAAATCTACCAATTCCCACACTTGATTTTTATTTATTGAATTTAGTTCTTCATTTATGGCTTCTTTCCATTTTTCTTTGTCGGGTGCTTCCATAGCCTCCGAATAGCTTATTGGATCATCTAATGATTCTTCATTTAAGAAGGTATAATAATCTTTCAATTTGGAAGAGGGAAACCATTCTCTTTGAATTTTTCCTAATGTATCATTCTTTGTTCTATATGTTTCTTTTTGTATATCTTCATTTTCTATTTCAAATAGTTGAGTCAAGACATTATCATTTTCATCTTTTATTTGGTCCTCTAAGAACACAGCATCCTAACTTTCTAGGAATTCAATAGATCCATCAGATTTATGATTTATGAATTTGTAACCTTTGTTGTTTTTTGAATATCCTATAAAGGTGCATCTTATGCTTTTGTTATCTAGTTTGTTTCTTAGTTGACTAAGAATTCTAACATAGGCACTGGAACCCCAAATTTTAATATTATATAGGTATGGTTTTCTACCAGTCCAGATTTCATGAGGTGTCAATTTATTCACTTTAGTTGGTATTTTRKTTAGAATATAAATTGTTGTAGTTAATGCTTCACTCCAGAAATATGTTCCTAGATTGGATTGTGATAACATTGACCTTACCATGTCAAGTAGAGTTCTATTCCTACGTTCAGCAACTTCATTCTGTTGTGGAGTATAACTCATGGTTAATTGATGTTTTATCCCATTTTGTATACAAAAATCATTAAATAGATTAGATATATATTCACCACATCTATCACTTCTTAATATCTTTATTTTTCTTCCTAATTGGTTTTCTACTTCTAACTTGTATTCTTTAAATTTTTCTAATACCTCAGATTTTCTTTTAATCAAATAAACATATCCAAATCTAGAGCTATCATCAATAAAGGTCACAAAGTATTCCATTTCCTT